CTAGATACATTCTACCCTACGGACAGAGTGGTACCACAGCTGTGGGGCCCACATCAATGTTCTCTACATACTCTAATTGATAAACTGTAAGTATGGTGAAGCTGGTCTTGGCTGGGAAACAAATCCAGTGATTGGCTCATATGGTTCAAGCTTATGGAAAGGTATAATGCTCCACAGAGATTGTTTTTTCAAGCTCATATCCTTCAGACCTAGAAATGGTGAGAAGATCTACTACTGGAAGGATCAGTGGTGTGGTGATAGGCTGCTAAGCCAAGTATTCCCAACCATTTATGTGCTTGCTCAAGATAAACTTGCAAAGATAAGCGACTTTTATGAGCTGATTGGAAGCAATCCACTGTGGGTTCCCCAGCTTAGGAGATCAGTGAACAACTGGGACCTAGAGACTCTTACTGAATTGATGCTCTTGGTGGAGAGGATGAAGCCCCAGCTGGCTAAAAATGGACCAGATCTGGTGCACAGGTCATAGGTTAGGCAAATTCTCTGTAAGTTCAATGTTTGCCAGTTTGGCCAATGTTGGTGAGGTGGTTCCCTGGTATTGGATTTGGAGGCAAAATTTTCCCTCAAAGGTATCCTTTTTCTTTGGTCAGCAGTCAAAGGGAAGATCCCCACTGTGGATATGAGCCAAAGGCACAATGATTATGAACCATTGCTGCTTATGCAGAGCAAATGAAAATAATATTCAACACTTTTTTGATCAAGTGTGATTTCTCTCAGGCCATCTGGAGTCACATGTTGCAGTTATTTGGAGTCCATTGGATGGAACCACCAGACTTATACTCTTTCTGCTTATGCAGAGCGAATGATAATAATATTACACTTTTTGATTCAGTGTGATTTCTCTCAGGCCATCTGGAGTCACATGTTGCAGTTATTATTATTATTTTTTTTATCAGTAACAAAAAACTTTATTGATGATGTGAAGATTTGTGAAACTTTAGATACAATAGGGGGAGGTAAAATGTCTTAACTCCCCACCAACAGAATACAATGAAAGAAAATTAAAAATGAGCCCAAAAGATGGACTCCCTATTCACCCCCTGCTTGCCAGGCCATCTGCAAATGAGTTAGTAGTCCTCTTCACCCAGCTGTATTGTATCTCAATGCCCCTACCCAGCCAAATGAATTTTTTCTTTTCATTGTTATAGCTCCACAAACCATTGTCCTCTTCCTTCAGCCAACTAATCACCACCTTCGAGTCACCTTCTAGGACCAAATACGTCTGATATTCAGTTCCTTTACTCTTTGTATTCCTTCCAGAGCTGCAAGGATCTCAGCCCTAAGATAGTCTCCTTCTCCTATGGGGCCTGAGAACAAAGCAATAACACTCCCTTCCTCATTCCTGAATACTCCCCCAATCCCAAAAGGCCCTGGATTCCTCAAACTATTGCCATCAAAATTCAGTTTTATAAATCCAGAGGGAGGAGGGGACCAGGAGGGGCTAAGAGTCCTCTTACACAAAGCAGAGGTAGCCATCTCTTTCCAATTTCTTAATAAGTCAGCCACAGGAAAGTCTGAGAACAGCTCCAAAGATTTTAGCCAGTGGATAGCCCTTAAAAGTATTAGGTCTAATAGATCTTCCAAGGTTCTTTCCTTGTCTGAGAAAATTTGTAAATTTCTTTCTTCCCACAGGGGCCAACACATAGCTGCCCTAATGCTCCTCCACATAACCTTTCCTCTCTTCTTGGGCCATTTGAAAAACATAGGAGAGAACAGACTTTGTGCGCTCTCTGGGGGATTCCAAGAACACCCAAAGAGGGAGAGAGCCCACTCCCATACAGTTTTAGTAACTTTACAAGAAACCATAAGGTGGTAACCAGTTTCCCCATCAACTTTACATAGAGTACACCTATTAGGAAGTAGACAAGAATTGGGTCTTTTTTTTGAAGCAAATCATTTGTGTTAATTCTTTTCAAGAAAATTTCCCAACAAAAACTACCAACCTGAGGAGGAATGGGCTTGCTCCAAATTTCTTTAACTGGAAAGGACAACCCAATAGTGGCAGGAGGTTGAGTTAAGGTTTCAAAAAACGAAGCACAAGAGAAAGTAGTTGAGGTGGAAGGAGTCCAAAATCTGGTGTCCTTATTAGGATCCAAGAAAACATTCTCAAGGATGGTTAACAAAGATAAAATACTGTGAAAGTCTGTGTCCCTAATTGCCCTTCTTTGGCCTAGGTTCCGTCCAAAACTAGAAGTGGAGTCTGAGGACCTAAGAAAGAGGAAATAGGTTCATTTTTCAAGTTTGACAGAGCATACAAGGAGGGAAACTGGTATCCTAGAGGTGAATCCCCTATCCAAAGTTGTTCCCAGAATTTTATGCAATTACCAGAGTTAAGACCATACCTGATCCAAGGGGAGAAAGCTGGAAGCAGATCATTAATGGATTTCCAAGGAGAAGCAGTTTTAGCCCTTTCCGCGATTCCAAGATCCCAATTGTTATCTTCCAGCCCATGTATGCTAGCCACAATCTTAGTCCACAACTTATCTCTTTCCACTGTAAACCTCCACAACCATTTTCCCAGCAAAGCCATATTCCTTTTTTTAATGTTTCCAATCCCAAGGCCTCCTAGCTTTTTACATCTACTTACTACCTCCCATTTCACCCTATGATCTCTCTTCTCCTCTCCAGGCTCCCACAGAAAGTCCCTCATTAATTTTTCCAAAAGGTTGGAAACCTTAGTGGGGATCTTAAACGCTGACAGAAAGTGAACATGTAGGTTAGCTAGGGAAGACCTAATCAGAGTGGCTCTCCCCTCTAAGGAAAGATAGTTTTTCCTCCAGGACACAAGCCTCTTCTCAAATCTCTCCACTATCGGGTTCCAAAATCTATCATTCTTAGGATTATCTCCTAAGGGGAGGCCCAAGTACGTCAAAGGCCAATCCGAGATTGCACAACCTGGAACACTTGCGTATTCACCTAATTCCCTCTCCTCCACATTTAACTCCCACCACACAACTCTTATCAAAGTTCACCTTGAGGTTAGACATCTGCTCAAAGAGTTGTATTGCCAATTTTAAATTCCGGATCCAATTTATGTCCCCACCTTCACAAGACAAGATTGTGTCATCTGCAAACTGTAGATGTGTCAGTGGTACCTCCTCCCTTTCTATACACCACCCTTTTATCAAATTCCTCGAGTCAGCTCTATTGATCAGTCTCCCAAGTACATCGGCAATCAGGGTGAATAGGAAGGGGGAGAGTGGGTCTCCTTGCCTTATACCTCTCAAGGCAGGAAAGAAGTCAACCACAGTTCCATTCACCAAGATAGAATGTTGACAAGTCCTAACACAGCCCCACATCCATTTACACCATCTGTCTCCAGAGCCAAAGCTTCTCAAAACCTCCAATAAGAAAGACCAATCAACTAAGTCATAAGCCTTCTCCAAGTCCAATTTGCAGACCACTCCCTTCTTCTTAGGTTTCCTAAAGCTCTCCAAACTCTCATTTGCAATGAGGATTTGATCAGTGAACTGTCTTCCCTCCACGAAAGCACCTTGGTTAGGTGCAATAATGAAGGGGAGGACCTTCACATGTTGTAGTTATTTGGAGTCCAATGGATGGAACAACCAGACTTATACTCTTTGGTGGTGGCTTGGAGGCCTTTTGCTTTTAGTAAGCCTGTGGCAGATGACCCCTTTTGCAGTTTGCTGGTGCATATGGAGAGAGAGGAATGGCAGGACATTTGAAGATCAGTTGTCCTCTGAGGAGAAGATATGTGGGAAAGCCGAAAGTTTGCTATTTAGATGGGCTTCAGTCTGTAATCCCTTCTTCAGGTTTAAGGTCAAAACTTTCTATGAGCATTGGGGGGAAATTGTATGGAATGAGAACTTTATGCCTTGTTCCTTGTAGCCATGTGTTGGTATCTAGCAGTTGGGGAGGAATCTCTCCCCCTGTTGTATTGCTCTCTCTTCTGCTTTAATAAAATTCCTTCCAAAAAAGGTATATTTATTATTTAGTTTTTTTAAAGAAGTAACATTCGTTTTATTTCTTTAGTTTCTTCTCTCTTTTTCTTAGGAGGGGGTATCTCGGTGCATATGTATGCCTGTTAAAACAGACCAACTCCTGTTTTGGTCATCCAAGAAAGCCATGGAAGGATTTTCTGTGATGGATTTGTCTAAAACTGGCTGTTGTTTTACTTCCTCTGGATTGGACACTGCAGTTTACCACATTTTGTTAACTTGTCTGTGCCTTTATTTATAGTAAATTTGGATACATCCCATTTCTCCAATTTGAAAATTCTTAGTTTCATAAAAAAATCTGCAAAATGGAACTATTTTATATATATTTTCAATTTTCTATAAATATTCACATGGAATCTCTTTTGTGGGTGCTGTAACATGGGCCTCACAGCGCTATTGGGAAGCTGGAGGTAACTGCAACATGGCTATTGCGGCAGCAAGACTAGGTCTTAAATGTCTAACACTTGGTCATGTGGGCAATGAAATCTATGGACACTTCCTCCTAGATGTGCTTCATGATGAGGGAATTGGTATGGTTGGATTGGATGAAGATACTGATTCTATTACAAACTCTAGTGCCTCATACGAAACACTTATATGTTGGGTTTTGGTGGACCCTTTGCAAAGACATGGATTTTGCAGGTACATGAATTTCCATCAAAGTTGACATTAAGAAAGATTTTTGGGAAATAAATTCCTCCTTTTTATGCTCTTGCACAGTACTCATTCATATGTTGGTTACTTTGCCTTTTGGAGTGCATAGTTATCTGATTTTACCTCTTTCTCTTTACTAGTCGAGCTGATTTTAGTAAGGAGCCTGCATTCAGTTGGCTGAGTGAACTTTCTGGAGAAGCAAAGTTAGCAATCAAGAAGTCAAAAATCCTATTTTGCAATGGTTATGGCTTTGATGAGCTTTCTCCCAGTTTAATTATGTCTGTTCTAGATTATGCCATGGAAGTAGGGACATCAATATTTTTTGATCCTGGACCACGGGGAAAATCACTTTCTAAGGGGACGCCTGAACAGAAAAGAGCACTTGACTGGTTCTTGCGGACGAGTGATGTTCTTCTTTTAACTTCTGATGAGGTTTGATTGGAATCTTCTTATAGATGCTAATGTTGCTTTATATTTCTATGTAGGCTTGTTATCTTATGCATATGTTTACTGCTTACTAAATGGTGCTCTTGTACAATTATTTATATGGGCTTTTATTTTTACTTTGATAAAATATTGTGGAATCTTGTTCCTTTTATAAATATGAAGTGTTTCTGAGAATATTGATATCATGAATTCATGATATGATATAAACCAATATTGGTCAGTACAGTTGGCTATTGATGGATATGCATGAAGCTGGTTTTCCATGGATTTCATAGAATTGTTGAATAATTATTATTCATTCTTTTGCTTTTTAATTTTGAAGTCTTTAAAAATCATTTGAGATACTATAGTTTGCTGGTTTTTCTTTTTGTAAATCACAAATGACGGTTCTGCAACATTTATATTTATTTACTTTGACTTACTAACAACTTTAGGTGCTAATCTATGTTTAAATTCCAAACAAGATAATTTAAAAATTTTAAACTGTTTTTCTTCTTTGAGAAGATGAACTGCTGTATTGTAGTGATAATCTAAAAAATTGTGATCATGTATAAGAGGTTGTGCACTAAGATTAAATTTTGCTCCCCCACCTTATTCATATTCCATAGCCATGGAAATACCACTCCTGAAGTTCTCCTTGGCACTTTCTCCTTGCCACATATTCTATTTATATGAGGCATATTATCTCAATTTCTTTGATTGCCAGCTGTTTAGGATTTCCACAAGAGATAGAAGAAAGCACCAAAAAATCCCCAAGGCTTAAAAGAAACATGGAGAAAGAAAATCCAGTACACTTTAGTGAAGGATCAAATGCTTCGCTGTCTCAGCCTCTTCTAGAATGCATGTATTATTTACCTTTCCTTGCTTGCAAGACTCAAAAGTCCAAACAGCTGGGGAAATGCTGATACAACCTCCAAGAAACCCAGGCCTATTATATAAACTTCTCAAATTTTAGAATTTCTTTTTGAGATCAAAATTTTTCATACAAATTCCCTTGACCTAAGTACATCATAGGTGCTATGTGTTGCTGCTAGTCAGTACTCAGTCGAAATTTTCAGTTATAGGATTTTTTTTTCACTTTTTTGCCCCTGAAAAGTTTGTTTACCATTCCATACTTTTCTTGCTCAGCGTTGCTTGCTTTTTAATCTATGATCTGCAAATACAAATAATGTGCAGGCTGAATCATTGACTGGCATAGAAAACCCAATATTGGCTGGACAACAGTTGCTTAGGAAAGGAGTGCGCACAAAATGGGTGATTGTTAAAATGGGATCAAAAGGTTCCATTCTAATAACAATGTCAAGCATCTCCTGTGCACCTGCATTCAAGGTATCAACTTGTAGCACTGTTTTGTCTGAACTGTGGGTAGGCAGATATAACAAAGTAACTCAATAAGTACCACTCAATTTTAATGGATCAACAATACAAGACCTGTTTAGAGCTATCATACAAGGAACATATTTTCTCATTGAAGAAATAGTCTACTTGCTTGTACTTCTTTACCTCAACATTTAAATTTCTGTAATTTTGTTAATATTCTGAATCCTCTTCAGGTGAATGTGATTGATACTGTTGGCTGTGGAGATAGTTTCGTTGCTGCTATTGCATTTGGTTTTCTTCACGATATGCCTACAATTAATATATTAGCACTTGCAAATGCAGTGGGTGCTGCAACTGCCATGGGTTGTGGGGCTGGTAGAAATGTTGCCACTTTGGAAAGTGTCATTGAGTTAATTAGGGTTTCAAACCTCAATGACGATGATGAGTTCTGGAGCAAATTACTTCATGAAAATATGGATACTCCAGAAATATCACTTCTTTCAAGGACAGTCATAAATGGAAGCAACGATCAGCTGAAACATGTCTCTTTGCAAAAGGTAGTCTCTGATTGTATAAGCTTCAGACTGTGCAGGGGAGGAAGATGGTAACATCTTGATGCAGGATTGAAAAGGCTTTTGCAACAAGTTGGTGATGACTAGAATTGTTTTTCCAGATGCGTTCTCTCGCATTGCAATTGATGAAAACTGACCTATGGCAAGGGGTGAATGATTGAAAACCTGAAGAGGTAAACAAATTGAGTTCACCTCTTTGGGTACTGTCAAGATTAAAATCCTAATTTGCCACGTATAGGCTTCAGGGTTAGAAGAATTCTCAATTTGAATGCTTGAAGCTCATGGTACATGGTGTTGTACATCTAACTGATAAGATACATTACAATTGTGCATAGTCGATTAAGAGAGAATTGTGAATTGGGGTTGTGGGTTAGTGGGGTAATTTGTTACATGCTTATTTCATTATTTGTACTGCCATAGAACGTATGCCTCCCTAGCAAGTATTAGTCATTCTTCTTCTTGGCTTGAGATTTCTTTGGTTCTTGTTGTGATCGAAAGGAGGGTTTGTTTTTATCTTTTAGTTGATGAGCGCTCCTTTTTGTCTTTTGCGGATGCATTTTGGTCCAGTCTGTTTTTTTACAGTGCAAATCTGAACAGATGCAAATTTAAATTTGCACCACCTCCTCCACATCTTAATTTCCTCTCATGTAAAGTGGGTATGACATCGTCTTATGGTGTTCCTCTAAAACAAACAAAACAAATTCAAACCTCAAGTAAAGCAGATTTCACACTGCCTATTTGCACTCCCAATCATTCCGCAAAAGTTATCTTACAAAAGAAGCATTCAGAGGTAACAAGTAGTGTCTTGATTTTTCAGTAACAAGTATTGCCCATCCAAATTAGCAGTATGAATTTTCATTCTTATCAATATTTTTGACTGCTGGAAAATATTACAAATTACTACCTTATTTATTAGTGTATTTATTGATTTTCTAATTCGGCCCTCAAGATCAACCAATGAATGACAGATGCTGTTGTTTATAACACCTTTCCATCTTGCTCTTCAAAGTTTGAACTCCAACTCTCGACACCTTCTATAGTGTGGGTAAAACTAGTAATACACCAAAGAGTGCTATACTTGGTTAAAATTCTGACAATCTGACTTTTTAGGTCATGTTTGGTTCAGCTTTCATTCTTATTCGTTCCTTTCAAATATAACAGACAAAAATGGATGGAAATGGGCAAAATGAGAAAAAGGTGACTATAAATCAAATGCTTTTTTTAACAAAAAATAATATAATAAAGTTTTGGACTTATTTGGCTATAAATTTAATTTTCATTTATTTTTTTCATCAACCAAAATAATAGTATAGGTATATATACAATCCTCACCGGAAATATAACACAAATCAACCATGTAGGTCCCACATCAATAATACAAAATATCAAAAAGAAAAAAAAGACAAGAAGCTAGAAAACTTTTTGCATTTGGTTGCATAGAGAAAATATAAAAGAAGCAATTAGCACCTATTTAACATTAATTAAAAGGAAATTATTTTGTTGAATTGAATAAGCATTTGTGCAAATGAAGAAAAGAGTTTGGAACTTCCAAATAGAAATGGAATTTAAAATGTAAAATTAAAAATAAAATTAATAACATGAAGTACAAAATGTCTAACAATTTCATCAAATTGAAAATGGTATTATTCAATATAGACAATGTAATAAGAAAGTCATAAAATATAGTAAAACATAATATAATTGTGTCACATGTTACTCATTTTCAGTTTTCAAAGAAGCTTTGTGGTGGTGGTCATAAGCTGCTAGCACAAGTTTTTACCATGAAAGGCTGGCAGTCAATATCCATCAACATAAGTTTTCACGATAGATTTCTATACTGGGTAGTTTAGAAACATAGGTCTGCGGTTTGTGACTATCAGCACAAAGCTCTTTAAAGAATGGAAATGGGCAAAATGGGGCACAATTATTTTTTATACTACAGGTTGCCTCAAATTTTGTGCCCTGGACTTACTTTTCATTCTAAAATGAATGAGGCCAATGTCATGAATTTTGTAATAAAATGCTCTCATATAATTCATTCTTGTCAAGAATGAGAAAAAATTGAAAGAATGAGGCATGTAGAAACAAACCAAAAATGACCTTAGTTTCTTATTTGGCCAAGAAGGGTTCAGCTTAGAGCTGCAACTTGAGATAGGTTAGAATGAACCCAGTCCAAAAAAATAAGGTTTAGTTGGGTTGGTATGAAGTTCAGGTAAGGTTAGGGTTGAAAAATGAAAAGTACGAACCCAACTTAATTCATTGCTTGCATGCATGCATATGCAATTACACATTCATAAATGTGTGTGTTGCATTTTTTCTTTGCAAGTATTTATGTATGTATATATTTATCTAGCTATACATGTATTGGGGTTGGATCCTGTTGTTGGCTACGTGGCAAGATCTAAGAGGTCGGTTGGGACCAGAACTCGGGGGAGAGTGGTCCGGCCTGGTCTGTCTACAGTAGGGAACTTGCTTCGGTTGACCTTGTTTGTGGAACTGAGTTTTGGCCTGATTTTCGCCCTAGGAGAGACCTGACTTCATTCAGGACGAGACTACTGCCTTCACCAACTTCCTTCTTGCTCTTATTTTCTTCTCAACTAATACCTTCTCCTTACCTTTAACGACACCCCTGAGTGTATTTATAGTTGACTTTACCTTCCTTTCCTTTTGTCTTTTTGTATATGGTGGAGAGGAGGGTCGGTTTAGTGTTTTCATTACACCTAACCCTCCTTTAGGACTTTTCCACATATGTAGTTTTTACTTATATTATCTCACCTCAGTTTAGTCATTAATGGGTATTGTCCTAATGGTCACGCTATATTAATTTCAGGCTATAAATATACCCAACCAACTCCTTGTCAACTATTAAATGTGGTCTGACATGGCATAATCGTGGGCCTCCCTAACCTATCAAACCTTACTCGGTTCATCATGCCTCAAGGTTCCTTGTGTGAGTGGATCTGCAAGAGGACGACGATTCATATTTCGATCTTGGGTGAAATTAGTCCTTTGTCATTAGTAGATTGATCCGAGCCTTCCTTGCCATCTCGTCACCTGCCACATGCTCCTTTTACACCCCTTGGATGGTCAATCACGAGCGAGTTACAACATGTATGCATGTATATTGTATATCAACAATTTCTAGTCTAAAGGTTTTTTTTTTCCTAAAACATGATCACTATGTTATTTACACATAATAATGTTAGTATTGAATTAACATGAACCCTACTCTTTACCTTTTCTTTCAAACCAAACACAACTTTAGAGTCTAGAAAATAAGTAAACTTAGAAAAAAGTAGAAAAATTGGACCAACCCGAGCCTAACCTGAATCAAACCCAAACCTTTAGGGTTGGAGGTTCAACAATTCGATCAGGTTGGGTTAAGGCTGACCTCAACACAACATAACCCGGCCCGACTCGTACCATAGATCAGCTAGTATGGCCATGGCCATGGCCAGTTCTACTGGTTAAACCTCTCTTCTCATTTCTCATGTGGTGGCGTTTTAAGTATGTCCATGCCTTACCTACAGGAATTGACGTGGTTAGATTTGAATTTGTAACCATCTACGTTAGAGAAAATCCTGACCAAGCCATGTAATCAGACTATTGGAAGAATATACTGGTGAGGTGAGGAGTTGTGGACCGTTAGTTGTTTTTGGATCTAACCATATCTGCCCCTTGATCAATGATCTGCCATGGCTAATGGCTATGGGTCATGTGAAAGTTTTTCATTGATCAAATAGTTCCTATAGTTGTAGCCTATAGGTAAAGGTCTTCAATGTTTGGTTAATTGGATGTAGGGGTGGACAGGAGCTGAATTTTTCACGAGTTATTCGAGCTTGTCTTGGCTCAGTTTAAGCCAAGCTTTGAGTCAAGCTGGAGCTCAATTTATAGGCTTGTTTTCTAATCAAACCGAGTTTGAGCCTAATTTATAGGTTTGTTTGCTAATTGAACCAAGCTCGAGTCTAAAAAAGCTCAACTCGTGAAGCTCGCAAACCTAGTCAAGCTTCTACTTATATGTATATATGTATACATACATATATATATATATATATAATATTTTTATTTATATATATAATAATAACTAATTATTATAATTCTTATTTTTTTAAATATCAAATAAAAATAATTTATATATTTATTTATTTTTATAAAACATTTGGCTCATAGTCGAGCTCAAGCTTATTATGAGCTTTTGACTTAAGCAAACTTGAGCTTAAGCTTTATTGCTGAATCGAGCTTGAATACATAGCTATTCGACTCGGCTTGACTCGAATCCACCCCTAATTGGATGTTGTGGCGTGGGTGTTTGACTGATTGGGGAAGCATGCTCATGGCCATTATGCCGCATCATTTGTTCGGCATTCATAATTGATGACTCATACCTTTATGCCCCACCATGTGACTTGAAAAGGCCGTACACGATATGTTATAGATCTTACATGGATATAGAGGCACTGTAGGCGTGGCTAACTAATTGGGTTGTCTTTATTAGGCAAGGCTGAGAATGAATTCACGTCGCCAGAACTAGGGTTGGATTCGAGCAAAGCCGAGCCGAATATTTGGCTATTCGAGCATGGCTCACTGAAACTGTGTTAGGCTTGAGCTCAAGCTCGAGCTTGGTTTGAGATAGAGACTTGAGCTCGAGCTCGGCTCGGTTCAAATCTTTCAACTTCAAGCTTGGCTCGGCTTGAGCTCGACTGCAAGCCATATTTTTTCTAAAAAATACAAATTATACATATAAAAATATTTTTATTATTTTACATACAAAAATTAAGAATTATAAAAATTATTTATTATTATACATATAAAAAATAAAAAATATACATATAAAAACGTTTTTATTTTACATTCAAAAATAAGAATTATAAAAATTATTTACTATTATACATAAAAAATAAAAATATTATATATAGTAAAAATTATTTATTATGTATATGTATATGTATATGCATAATAAGAATAACTCGTGAGAAGCTCAGCTCGTGGCCACCCCTAGACAGAACCCAGTCTTGGAGGGACCTCAAGAAAAAGACACGTAATGGTGTTTGGTACCAAATTTGTTTCTCCGAAAGTGTTTTTGCCATTTAGGCGTTTTCTCTCTCCCCCATTTTTCTTGTCCGGTTCAGTGTTTCACAAATAATATTAAATGCCTTGGCACCAAATATGCATATAATATGGAGTTACTTTTCCAAGCCAAAGACGGGAAGAACTCTCCACAGGCACCCCAGAGCCAATCCTTCCCATGATATACATGGGAGATGTTCCCAATGCATGAGGGAGATGTGTTGTGGGACACCTAGGGTATGCTCTTTGGGGAGCCCATCCTAACTTTATAAGCGATAGTTGTCATACGAGAAAACAACTAGAGATGGCAATTTTCCCCATCCCCGATGGGGACTTGACTTCCCCGACCCGATGGGGATTGTTTTGGCAGGGTGGAGATGGAGATTAATAGGAATCCGTAGTCGGTGATGGGGATGGGGATGGGGATTGAGGTCCCCGCCTTGCCCCGACCCCGATTATATATATAAATATATATAGTATCAAATCATATTTAAAACATTATTTATAATTTAAAAATTTTATTTATTTTAAGTAAATTTATTTTTCAAAAGTATTATTCTAAAAAACTTTTGGGGATTTGAGTCATAGCGGGGAAACCATTCCCATCGGTAGGGTGCAACTTGGGCAGGCCCAACCCGAGCTTGAACTGGCCCAACCCAGAATTTTACACGGGCTGGGCTTGGATTTTTGGTCCTTGGGTTGGGCTCGGGCCCAAGAAGTAGGGCTTTTTTACTTTTTCGGGTCAGGCTCAGACCTAGCCCTTCAGTAGTCCGAACCCGACTCAATTATATACATTTATGCATATATTTGTATATATAACTTTTGTATATATATTTTGAATACATATTTACATACATACATAAATATATGTATATATATTTGCATAAATACATTTATATATGTATAATTTTAGAGTGGGTTCATTGACCAACCCGGCTTGGGCCTGAGCCCAACTCGAGTGCATCAAATTACAAGGCGGGTTGGGAAAATCAAGCTTGACCTTAGGCTTGGGCCTTAAGCCCAAATTTTAGGGTCAGGCCTAGGTTGACCATAAACCCGGCCCAACCCACCCAACTTGCACCCCTACCCATCGGGGATCGGGGATGAAGAACAAATTTTATCCTTGATGGAGATTGGGGACAGGGATGGGGTTAATTTCAAAATCAGGGGCAAGGACGGGGAATAGGATCCCCACCCCAAACGTGCCCCTTTGCCATTCCTAAAAACAACAATGATATCAAATATGAGATAAATAATACAATGTCAAATCAACAATTGTTTTCTTATAAAGATGATAATAGTAGGATTCAAAACCGCACCGCCGGGACAATTCATCCAATGCACCAACTAGGCTACCCCTTAGTTGGTTAAACACGAGATAGATGGGTCAAATAAAATTTTCACATGCTATTTCAGACTTATTTAGGAATAGCAATAGGGCGGGGATCATATTCCCAACCCCAACTCTGATTTGACATAAATTCCTATCCCCAACCTTAATTCCTATCAAATATAAAAGTTGTCCTTCATCCCTAATCCCCCATAGAAACTCTAACCACAATGACCTTAATCCCAAAATATTTTTTTGAAAACTAATTTAGTTAAAATAAAAGTAAATTTTAAAATATAAACAATATTTTAAATGAATTTTAATTGAGCCGCGGACTCCGTTGCGTCGGGTATATGGCGGGGATGGGAAAAATTGTCATCCTTACACTTATCCTCTAAATAAAAAGCACGTGGCAAGTTAAGTGGGTTTTCTACGTGTACGCCCAATTCCTCTGACGTAACAAGTAAACGCCACAGCGGCGAGAAGGGAAGCGTGGGGTTGGAAAAAATAAAATTCAGTGTGGCGCTCGCTCGCACACTCGCACTCGCCGAAAGGAACGGGGAAATGTCGAAAGGACCTGGCTTTTGATCAAAATCTCTCTCAATTTATTCCGAAAAGTAGCGACCATTACGAAACTACCCTCCTACGATGTGGAAATAGGACTGCCCTTCATCGTCATATACCTCCGTATTTGCAAAAACAACAAATATACCCTTCTAACCATTTCTCTCACCCTTAAATACCCTTCCCTTCATAAAATCTTCTCCATTTCAACCTCTTTCCATCACAAAAACCCTGATTGCTGTTATTTTAGTCTGAAAGGGCTTTGAATCTAAAACATTCTTCGCGGGTAAATTGGTGATATTGCAAATTATTTGATAAATATAAGTCACAAATGCGATACCCATTTACCATATACAGGTAAGCAATAAATAATATTATTGCTACCAATCAGGTAGCATTTACCTCATGAACAGATTTCCCACAAGTAAAAATTTTGTATTTATAAATTTAATGAAATATATTCTTAATGTTTGATTAGATGTTATATAAATAAAGTTTTTATTCGTAAAAATGAAGAAAAAAGAAGGAGAAAGAGAACTGTAGATGACAATTTTGATTTATGATAAATTAAAAAATCTTAGTTTGACAATATGGGCTTTAAATCTACTTCATAAACACTCGAATTAATATAAGAACGAGATAATATTTGTGAAGTTCATCACCAAAAATTTAAAAAATAAAAGATAAACGAGTAGGTTAAATGGGGTCACATTAAAAATATTAAGAAAAAATAATTAATCAAAAAATAAGAAAGAAAATATGGCTGATTTCAATCAAGAAATGCTTTTTTATGTGGGGCCCTCTAAATGAAAAAAATATCCAACCATCCATCATGTAGTTTTTTTTTTGAGAGAGATGTAGGGTATGTTTGGACCCGGCTCCATCAATTACCAAAGCAAATTAGGTCTTTTAAAAGACTAATTAGATGAGAAGAAAGGAGGGTAATTTGGTAAATGTGGAAATAAGATGGGAAGAGGATTATATTTTGACGTAAATGCCCTCTTTTTAGCCTCTGCCCTAGCTTTTTCTCGCAAAAGCATTCGGAAGCCCTTCTTCCGCCCATTGCCCCTGCAATTCTCAATCTCCCAACCTCTACCCTTCCCTCTTTCAGGTATTCCTCGTTACCCGCCAAATTCCTCCTTCGGTTTTCAAATTTGTTTCTCTGCGTCTTCGCTTCTGCTCTTTCTTCTCTTCTCCCTCAAAACCCTAATCTTGGTTTTGGGGTTTTACTTTTGTTTGTTCTTCTTAATTAGATATCTATCAGATTATTCGCTGTTTCTGACCTTCGATTTTTTTTCTTGCTTTTTTTTTTTTTGTTTTTTTTTTCTGCAGCGTCTACCCAATGGAAGTGCTCCAATCTTTTGAAGCCGTTTCTGTTGGATTGAGAAGTCGTGTTCGAAATTAGGGTTTTTTGGGTTCTTTTTTCTTTTCTTGTGGGAATCCGATTTTTTTTTTCTACCGTGGTGATATATTTGCTGGAGTTTCCGTATTGCTCGAGCTTGTCTTTCTCTTTTTTTACTTGTTAGTATATTTGGTTTTTGTTCGTTCTGAGTGTGGAGTTTTGTATTTTATTTCTTTGTTTCTTCCTAAACTTAACTTTCAGTTTTATTTCATGGGTTTCTTCTTTATTTGTCAGCGGTGGTGGTAGAAATCCATGTGTCAGTGGGAAAATCATAAGGGTCTCGAGGTCATTGTTCTTGGCGATTCACGGATTCGAGAAGCAAAAGACGAAGAAAAGAAGCTAAAAGACGATTACCCAGGTAGAAGCCTTCTCTCTCTCATGTTCTTCCCACTCTCTGGACTTATTTCTTTTAAATTATTTGGTGAAAGTTTGATTTTTTGAAGAAAAGCGAAGTTGTTGTTTTATTTACAATAACTCTTTTGCAAGCCAGGTTTGCTTGGATAACAGGTATAAAGGCAGGATTTGCAACAATAAATTGAGCAATTCGCTTGAGAGATCGACGGGTTTTGTTGGTTGATATCTGTATTGTGAATCTGTGGTTCGTTTTTCAATGGCTAACCACGAATTGATTCTCGGGCAAAATCATGATTTAGCACTTGGACAAAATCAGCAGTTGGCTCTGGGGCATAATCATAACTTGGTTCTAGGACAGAACCATAATTTGGGTCTGGGGCAGACCCACGACCATGACTTGGATTTGGGGCAAACACACGACCATGAACTTGGTTTGGGACATGTCCATGACCATGAACTTGCCCTGGGGCAGTCCCATGACCGTGAATTGGGTCTTCGGCAGACACATGGCCATGATGGAAAAGAAGAGAATGAGTTAGCATTGGGTCAAAATCATGATTCTGATGCAGGTCAAGACGATGATGACATTGATGACAATGATCATGAATTGGCTCTTGCTGCACAAAATCATGAGCTGGTTTTGGCAGAGAACCATGAATTGGCTGCTACAAACAACCATGATCTTGATCAAAATTTAGAGCTGGCTGTGGTCCCGAACCAAGAGATGGGTATAGAACCTGCCCAAGATATGACTCCTCAGCAAACTCAGATAGTAGCTGCTCCTGTTCTTCAGACCCGGTCTCTTGTTTTAAGTCCAAACCACCAACTAAATGTTGGTCAAGAGTTTCCAGATGTCAAGAGCTGTCGCAGAGCATTAAGGGACACTGCCATTGCTCTTCATTTTGAAATACAGACGGTGAAGTCAGACAAGACACGATTTACTGCTAAATGTGCAAGTGAGGGATGCCCATGGCGCATTCATGCTGCAAAGCTTCCGGGTGTTCCAACGTTCACAATCAGGACCTTAAATGATCAACATACATGTGGAGGAATCACTCATCTTGGCCACCAGCAAGCATCAGTCCAATGGGTTGCAAATTCTGTGGAACATCGCCTTAGGGAGAATCCACACTACAAACCAAAGGAGATACTGGAGGAGATCCACAGGGTTCACGGGATCACCTTGTCATACAAACAAGCCTGGCGTGGAAAGGAGAGGATCATGGCTACTGTTCGTGGGTCATTTGAAGAAGGATATCGCCTCCTTCCACAATACTGTGCTCAAGTAAAGCGTACAAATCCAGGGAGTATTGCATCAGTTTATGGGAACCCAGCAGATAATTGCTTCCAACGTCTCTTTGTCTCATTTCAAGCATCAATCTATGGCTTTGTGAATGCATGCAGGCCACTTCTTGGACTAGATAGGACTCTTTTAAAGAGCAAGTACCTTGGGACTTTGCTTTTTGCCACTGGTTTTGATGGGGATGGTAATCTGTTTCCTTTGGCCTTTGGGGTGGTTGATGAGGAAAATGATGATAACTGGATGTGGTTCCTATCTGAATTGCATAACCTACTTGAAGTTAATACAGAGAACATGCCAAGGCTTACTATCTTGTCAGATAGACAGAAGGGTATTGTAGAAGGAGTGGAGGCAAACTTTCCAACAGCTTTTCATGGGTTCTGCATGCGCCACCTAAGTGATAGTTTTCGAAAGGAGTTCAATAATACTATGCTTGTCAATCTTCTTTGGGAAGCTTCTCATGCTCTCACAGTTATTGAATTTGAAGCAAAAATACTAGAGATTGAAGAGATCTCAACAGATGCTGCTTATTGGATTCGACGTATCCCACCACGTCTCTGGGCTACAGCATATTTTGAGGGAACACGATTTGGGCATTTGACCGCAAATATAGTTGAATCATTGAACTCTTGGATTCTTGAAGCCTCTGGTCTTCCAATAATTCAGATGATGGAGTGCATACGGCGGCAGCTAATGACTTGGTTTAATGAACGACGTGAAACAAGTATGCAGTGGACAACAATACTTGTTCCTTCTGCTGAGAGACGTGTTTCAGAGGCTCTTGAACGTGCAAGGACCTACCAAGTGCTCCGTGCGAATGAAGCTGAGTTTGAAGTTATTTCTCATGAAGGAACAAATATTGTGGATATTCGCAATCGATGTTGTCTGTGTCGAGGCTGGCAGCTTTATGGTTTGCCCTGTGCCCATGCTGTTGCAGCACTTCTCTCCTGCAGACAGAATGTTCATCGCTTCACAGAGAGCTGTTTCACAGTTGCAACATATCGCAAAACATACTCACAGACCATTCATCCTGTTCCAGATAAAAGCCTCTGGAAAGAGTTATCAGAGTCTCAGAATGGAGAAAACAAGACTGTTGAAATTATCATAAACCCACCCAAGTCACTTCGGCCACCGGGACGACCAAGAAAGAAGCGAGTTCGTGCTGAAGACCGTGGCCGTGTGAAACGAGTTGTACATTGTAGCCGTTGCAATCAGACAGGTCATTTTAGGACAACATGTGCTGCACCTATATAAGTATTTTTTTGTTGACAATCCCCTATATTAGCAGATTGGGGGTACTTCCATTCTCTTGTGCAAATAAGCTTAGGTCTGTTTAATATATCTGCAGTTTCTAATAGTTAGTTTTAGTGAAATTAGAGCTAGTAAGGTGGTTCAATTTCCAGATAAAGCTTCATCATAATAATGAAATGATTTTGAGGATTTGATTCATCACTTCAACTTTTTTTTTTCAAAATGTGTACAGTTTGATGGTCGTAAAATTTTTCATGGTTTTATTTTCCTACCTACTTCACTCTTAATGATTTCTGTTCTACATTATTCATTACATGGCATTTCATATTTGTAACCGATCCTCAATATTTTACTTGCAGCATTCTATGAAATCTAAAATGTGATATTGTGCCTATTTTCCAGGCCCATAGTTCTTTATGCTTTAAGAAAGTGGTCTTATTTTTTGAACATTTACTTCTTGATGCTTTTGTTACATACAACATTGTACATGGTTATAATAGGCACATGGCATGTCTGTTCAGATTATCCGGTCATAGTAAGGAACATATCCTTAACAGGCTACATCCTACATTGAAACCTTTGCTTCACTTTCTTTGAGTAAACTATGACTATGAGTTAATTGTTTTCCCAATGAAGTGATGAAGGTGCAAGACCTCTGTAGATGAGGATTATACAAAGCCAAGCAACAAATATTTCTCGTCTTATGTTGGACTAAATTCAAACTGTTCTCTATTCTTGATCCTATGATCAAGAACATTTGGATTTTTAACTTTGTTAAATATCATGGCATTGGGGGGGATTCTTTGTACTATGCCAATCTTATCCTATGTGGCTTTTGTTGTATCAGAGGCTGGGACTAATAGTATTTCTGTCATATTTTTTGACTTCGTTTGCTCATCTGAAGTACTTGGTCCTCCCCTTTACAGGGAAGTAAGATTGTACTACTAATTGTTTTCGTTTAATAAAAACTTGTCATTACCATAAAAGAAATTGGCAAATGCTGTTTACTTGGCATGTGTGAGTATTTGACTTCGTTCTGTATAAGGAAAATAATAGGTGTATACTCTATAGGTGCACATTTTAATAGATGAAACAACCAAAGCGGCTATTCTTCACAGCTTACAATGAATCAATTTGGTTACCAGTTTCCACGTTGAATCAGTTCAGAAGGCTTTGAGTAGCTCATGGGGCTTTTTTGGCAATCAGTAAATTTAGATTGGTTCATGGGATTACTATGCTAAAGTAGTATGCTAATTTTCAGTATTTTTTCTGACATTACTTACAGATAAAAAGTCTTGCCCTTTTTTTAACCATGAAGAAATTAATTCCGGTTCCACAATTTTGTATTTTATTGTGCTTCTTATTGATTTTGTCATGTCAAGTTTCGTCATGCTCCTCTGACTGCTATTTTAGGTATGTTATTGATAGTTAAAAAAAATATCTTAGTATCGTTTGTCCTTGATGGTCTTGCAAATAATTCTGTTTTTTCATACATGATCAGGTTGTCATGCACAGTTTGCTAAACCATTGCAGTTTTAATGTTTGTTTTTACATAAAAGCAGTGCTATATAGTAACTTTTTTATGCTATGATTCTCTCTTGTCCACGTAAGTGGCCAGACAGAGTTCTTTAGTTGGAAATTGCCTGTTGCCCTTGGATCTTCACCTGTATAGTGGGGTGGTTAAAATCTTAAACTACTTCATGCATGGCCCATGCCTCAAGGATATATGATCAAAAGCAGAAAAAAGCAGTTTGACAAATAGGGTTAATTCTGTGCTGGGTTCTGACTCAGCTTGCTTGACATGTTGCTGGATGTCATACTTGTATGTTGGAACTGATCTTTGTGGTTCTTATCAGACTATTTTGAATTCAATGTGATGAGAGAAGAATAACATGGTAAAGGAAATTTATTGATAAATAGAAAGCACCAAATACAGACACTAGACCCACACCCAATACAGCACACGCAATCCACTATTTACAGATGAACCCCAAAAAAAAGGGGTTCTAGCTGATAAGGGCAACTTTTGGACCCTAATATCAATAAAAATAATCTTTTTAACATATTTTTTAGAATAGGCTATTTTTTTTTAAATATCAAATAAGGGCATGATCACTGTTCATCTCCTTTTTTCCCAGACCACTGTACAAATCTCCACTTCCGATCTCTCTTCTTCTCTTCTCTGCATCAGAATAGAACTGCAATGAGTTATTCTTCTGAAGCAGTTAGAAGAATACATGAAACACCATACTAGGTATACGAACAAATCGGTGGTTTGGTTCAAGGTACTAAACCTGTTAGAGGTATCTGAAGCAGTTTTGAATGCTATTAAAGCCTGAAAAATTGGGATTAGAAGAGGTCTGAGTATGTTAAGTAGAGAAGCAAGATATATATAATGAAATGCAAAAACACAAGAGTGGGTTTTGCCATTTTTGTTTGCAGCAAGTCAATAATTACAAGGGTGAACAAAAAATTAGAGATCTGTGATCAATATTTATTAATCTTGGGAGATATTTGTTTGGTGGTTTGAAGGAGAAAGGAGATGAACAGTGTTTTTGTCCCTATTTGATATTTTAAAAAAAAGTTGTCTATTTTAATAATTATGTTAAAAAGATTATTTTTATTGATATTAGGGCCCAATAGTTTCCCTTATCTGCTACAATCCCCAAAAAATGTAGAAACCTACTTGACCAAAAAAAGTTTTGCTCGAACAGAACTCCTATCCCTGACTGCTAACAAAGCAGCAGGTTACTCAATAGCTCTTGCATCTGCTTCCATCGGAGAGGTCGTTAAAAAACTTTCCAACGTGGGCTTCTGTTTGAAACATCTTATCCCTATTCAGGCCGAGTCCAATGTTAAAAACAGGTATTCGGCCCTGCTCTTTTTCTCGTCCACAATTCTGCCATTTTTTGCTTAAAGATTGAAATTTTCTCGGGGTAGTTCCTGTAAAAACCAAATAATATTCTACACGGGTTTGATTCCTCAATATTAAAAATAGCATCATTTCTTGATTTCTAAATTGCCCAGGCAATTTCTATGATAAGGTAAGATAGATCTCGATTTCCTTCTCTACTTGTGGGAATTCATTCACAGCTGCAGCACTGCACATACACAAAAAAACCCGAGAGATATTCAGAGTCAGGGACATCCTCCTTGAGAATGGGAATTGGAATATATAGGCTCTGAGAGAGCTATTCAATGCGAATACAGTGGAGCACATCACTCAGATACATAAGTATTCTCAGATCAGTGAAAACAGGCTGATTTGGAAAGAGTAAAAAACAGCTACCTATTGCGTAAAATCGGGTTACAGATGTTTTACCAATCAAAACCCCTCATCATCACAACCAGCTGCTCCTTGGAAAGTCATATGGAATACAAAACTTCCTCCAAGGTTCCAGTTATTCATGTGGAAAGCTTGTTGGAATGGAATAAAAACCATAGATAAAATGATCTTTCTCAAAGAACAAGATCAATGCTGCTCTCTATGCAATGAGGAAAAAGAAACATGGCAACATGTGTTTTTCTCATGTCATTATGCCAGAGCTGTGGCTCCTTGCCCAAATAGGAATAAACCCAGATGACCTCCAGAATAGGCACCTTAATCAATATCTGTCATACTGGATTGAATCTAAGCTAAGCTACCTCCCTATAGACACTCAGAAGAGCTACATTGCAAAATTTCTTATTCTTTTTAGGCTCATTTGGGACATGGGAAATGCAAAAGTCCATCGCCAACTCACTTCACACCCAGCCCAGTTACTTGAAATGGCCGATTCATTTATGAGCCCAGGTCCACATTTAGCAGAGAAAACACAAAAGAAAACAGTCTCTTGTCAACAACTGGACCACTTGATATTTACAGATGGAGCCTTCAGAATAGGTACAGGAAATGCGGCTATTGGTTTCATAATACTAGCTAAGGACTTATCAGTTGTGCATGCAGAAGGTTGAACAGTCAGCTTCATCAGCAGCCCAGGCCGAATGGAGAGTAGTAATCGAAGGGTTAAAGGCAGCAAGCAGGCTTAAAATCAGATCGGCTTTAGTTTTTTGTGATTCAGCGAATGTGGTACGAGTTATACAGGAAGAAGGTGATGTAGAATGGGACCTGTTACATCTCAGAGATCAACTTTGAAATATTTTGCTTGATTTTGGTAATATATGTATAAATCATATTAGCAGAACAGCAAATGCTGCTGCCCATGAATTCGCATACAATGCATGTAAATATAACAAACCCCTAGTAGAGAGTAGCAGCAGCAATCCTATATGTAAATCGACATTGAATGATCTCTCCTTTGTCCACTCTCTTTCTCTTTTAAATTTACATATTCAAATTGGGTTGGCATTTCTTCACCATTTTTTTTATCAATAACAGAAATTTTCATTGAATTCAATTACGAAAATATTACAAACAAGCGGATGACTGCATGAGCAAAGAAAAGAAAAGGTGTAGAGTTAGAAATAAGCCCACAACAAAGAATTCCTAGCCCATAAGGAATTTGCAGTTTTTTCACCCAGCTGTACTTTATCTCAAAATCCCTTGCTAATCAGTTGAACTTTTTCCTCTTATTGCTGTATTTTCACATGCTAGGCTTATCTTCCTTTAACTAGCTAGTTTACCACCACCTCTGAGTCATCTTCGATAATCAGCCTCCTAATATTCAGGTCTCTTGCCTTTAGACTCCCTTCCAAGACTACTAATATCTCTGCCGTAAAAGAGTCACCCTCACCAACTGGGCAAGAGAAAAGGGCTAAAGCATTCCCTTCCTCATTTCTGAAAATTCCCTCAATACCTGATAGCCTTAGATTCCCAATACTACTACCATCAAAGTTCAATTTTATATAGCCAGTAGGAGGGGGAATCCAAGAAGGACTTATGACCCTTTTGTCCATTTTCTAACCAACTGCCGTAAAAGACTATTTTTTTTTCCATTTTCTCAACAAATCATTCACAATAAAGTCTGAAAACAGGTATAGGGATTTCAACCAATGTGCTAACCTTATGTGGATCAGCTCTATTAAATTCTCAGCATTCTTCTCTTTATCCTCGGTGATTTTAACCTGACACAACTAGGGAATAGAATGGAACAAAATTAGACCTGAGATACATTCGGCTTCATTCCAAGCAATCATATTCTAGATGGACCCAACCCTATTAATGCTGCAAATGGATTGGATCGAATGGACACAAGGAA